AGGATGGATAAGTTGTCGAGGATCTTTCTGTGATTGTTCTCAGGCCACGGTAGTCGGTACGGTACGCGGTGTCTTGTCCTGAGGTCACCGTACCCGCCGAAGATCGAGCGCAACATAGCCCTGAGCAGTGATAACAGGAGGCTGTCTATTTTAGAAGAATGATTAATGCATAGGGAATCTAGCATTATCATCCAATAAGAGAACTAAACACAGGGAGAGATCAACGACATGCCCCTATTTATATTAAGTAAAATCTATACTCTAACTTCAGCTGTGAATCTAGAGTTGTAACTATATAAGTAGGGACATGATGAAGAATATTATATGACGGACAGACTTCTTATCTTATCATGAACTAGTGTCGAGTGATTTATCTGAATGTAATAACTGGTTATGTAAAAATAGACGGCGACTAAATAAACCTGTCTCGTTATCCGGATGTTACAAAAACGAAAGCGTACGTGACGAGTAATATATGTTTATATTAATATATATATAATACACACGTATATATATATAATAAAAATATAATTTATATATATACCTGTAAATGCTTTCTGGGAAACCTCGAGGGATGACTGGGTGGTCGGCCATGTGTACGGCAAGCATTCTGGGATGCGATGGGATTCTATAAGAGCATCAAGCGATTCGTGGCGCGGTTTCTCGATACGAACGTAGTGTAGCTTGAATGCCATTCTGCGGTTGCACAGAACTCCAGAGCTATGTAATGTTCGCGCGGCGCATATCTCGGGTACGCGTGCCTTGATATCCACGCCCGATCGGGCTTGTAAGTTGGTGGCGCATGTTAAAGTTAACGTTAAGATCTCACCCGCCGATTAGGGAGGGTACCCTAATCTCCGTTTCCGTAGCCCTGATGCCCGCAGCTGCGTTTCACAGTAAATGCTAGCAAAATAGGGGGGTTAGTCCACGTAGCTGGGGGGGTACACTAGCGAGTTAACTTACCAGACAACTTCTATCTCTTTTGGTCTGAATGCTAGGCAGAGAAGCGTGTGTACATCTTTTCAAGTCTGCATGTACCCTGCCTTAATTCCTACTTTCTGGCACGCCCGTTATCGCCGTCGCCTGCTCTCTTCTCTCTTCTCGCTCTGTCTCTCGTCTCTCCTTCTCCGGCGCCTCGTTTCGTCTCTCGTCATCTCTCTCTCTCTCACTCTCTCGCTTCTCTCTCACACCTCCTTTCCCTCTCTCCCTCCTATTTCTCTCTGTTATCTGCTCTCCCTCCCCTCCTCGCCTCCCTGGCCGTCATTCCTTCCGTTTTTTGCTGCCCGCAACGACTTTTGCTCTCGTCTCTATCTACCCACGCCTGGGTCATCGGCGTCTACCGAGACCCTTTTCTCTCTCTTTGCTCTCTCTCTCTCTCTTCCTCTCTCTCTCTCTTCCTCCTCCTCTCATCGCCTCTTCTGTCTCTCTCTCTCCTCCTCGTCTTTTCCATCTATCCCTCTCTGGGTCCTCTCTCGTCGCTTTCTTCTCTCCTTTGTCTCTCTCTTCCCCCCCCGGCTCTTCTCTCTCTCTTCTCTTGTATCTCTCTCTCTCTCAGTCTGCACCTCTTTCTCGACCGTCTTTCTCTCTCTCCTCACTCTCGTCTCTCCTCTCTCTCGTCCTCTGTCTGTCTCTCTTCTTTCTCTCGCTCTCTCTGTCTGTCTCTCTCAAAAGTCTCAAATCTCCTCTCTCTCTTTCTCTCTCTCTAATCTCTCTCTCTCTTCTGCGCAGCTCACACCTCAACTCCTCTCTCTCTCTGTCTGGTCTCTCTTTCTCTCCTCTCTGTCTGTCTCTCACATCTCATCTTCTCTCAGCATCATCATCATCTGTTCATCCGCATCTAAACACGCGCATAACATTATCTATATTTCTCCGTAATAAAACTTCCCTTACCTGCAGCCGGATGAAAGCGTGCTTTCCTAGCGCTGGGTCCGTAAGACATGCCGGCACCTCGTTCCGTGTCTTGCTATAGAAATAAGCCCAGCCTTCGGATCGCAGACGATCAGCAGAAGCAGTCTGATGCCGCACAGGACAGACGATATAAAGGCAAGCACGATCGCCGCACCCTGACAGAACAACTGCAAAAGCAGCCCCATTTTTTTAAAATCTTCGTTCGTCGGGACGGCTGAAGACGACCGCAAACCGATTGCCTTTGCCGAAGGGAAAAAAAGACTTTTTGGCGACAGACGCGCTTGCTTTCGTACTGCGAGCGTGTACTGTGAACTTTCGCGCGCGCACAAAACACCCCGCGGCGCCCATCTGCTCGGCGCGTAAATTCCATCCATGATACGCTCCAAGAGGGAGTCTCACACGTGAGGCGGCCGCTGGGTTAAGCTTGATATATTTATCCTGCACCATGATCCATCGATGGCATCGCTTTGCGCAATTGGCGATCGAAGCCATCCATCTACGCG